AATGATTCAAAACTAAAGTAACGAGCCAATTTTTAAAAATGTAAGGAGTAGAAAGTACAGATATTTGTGTAAAAATGTAAGGAGTAGAAGTAAAAAGTCGCCATAAAAATAAGTAGTAAAGTAAAGTAAAAATATCAGAAAAATCTACTTGAGTACAGTAACGAAGTATTTGTACTTCGTTTCTTCCCATCTCTGCATATCACCACAATGATTGACAGTTAGGAGGACCACTGATTGAGATGATCCATCTAGAAATAAAAGATCGTCCACTATACCTTTGAGACAATTTCAGGAGCAGAAAACCAATGCCCGCAACCAACACATTATTGAGCTTCACTTTGTGTTATCGGTAAACTTGTTCGACAGTTAAACGGTTTAGCCTTATCAAAGCTGCTAGATTACCTGGAAGGGAATATCAGCCATGGTTTTAGCCAGGTAGTAAGCCTTAAGGCTGTACCAGTAGTTCAGATGTTCCCGCAGGAAAACGGACATCTCCAGAGGAACTGTTGGGTGAATGATTGGAGCTTTACACACAGACATCTACAGCAACTTATATGGACTGCAGTGAAACAGCCTCACAGTAATACTCACAGGTCAGCACAGTCGGCATGAGAGCTCCAAACATGAGGAACAGCATAGAGAAGAAGAGGAATCCAGTGTTGTTAAACACTTTGCTGGCATCATTGCCAATGTTCAAATAGAGCAAACCTATTATTATGCCGATGGTGATGTGGGAGATCAGTCTAAGGTGGGTCAAAACCTGAAACAAGAGCAATGGCAGAAAACTTGCAGTTTCAGTATCATATCACATGGAGTCACTACCTCACTGCTTTAGATAAAGGCCCGAACACACCGGCTCTGAACGGCTTTTAAATCTCTGATCCGATTTTTTTCCATGTCACACTGACTGCGTATATAGAGGCTCAGACTAGGCAGGGTGAGCAGATCTGCATAGATGTTTTACACTTCTCATCTCTGTGCTATACAAGAAGTAAAACAATTTCCCACATTTGACTTGGACAGATTATGATGAAATTTTAAAAACAAAAAAAACCCCACCAGAGGTGCATTATGTAAAGCAAAGCTCTACATAACGAGTCTGTTTAGCATCTAGAACCAGAGCAGATAGAGAATGTGCATCTATTAAAAACATAATGAGATCTACGCGTAAAGAAAATAAAAACGCAGCAATAAACTCTGTGGGACGGTTTCCATGGTGACTGAGGCCGAGAGGTGATTCTCAGAGAG